GTTGCTGTGCCGAGCCCTGCGCACAGGGGCTCTCAGGCTGCTACGGCTGGAGGTGGAAGTAGGCAGAGGGTTGTCTGGCTTTCTTGGGGTGCCATCTTCAGTAGGGATGATCACAGCTTTGGGCATGTTTTTCTATTTGTTAAGCATTGGAACAGGCTGCCCAGGGAAGTGGTCGAGTCCCCGTCCCTGGGGGGATTTAAAAGCTGGGCAGACGAGGTGCTTAGGGCCACGGTTTAGTGGTGGGATGGCAGAGTTAGGTTGACGGTTAGACTTGATGATCTTAAAGGTCTTTTCCAACCTAAACAAGTCTATGATTCTGTGATTCTAATGCAAGCCCTACTTGAAATGCTAGATGTTCTGCCTAGCTGCACTAGGTTGAGAGAGAGGGGTGTTATTGGGTTGACTTTGCGACCGGATGAGTGCTCAAACCTGAACGTATAAACTGGTGCAGCAGAAGAGGCAAACTCTCCATCCCCAACGGTCAGTGCAAGCAGTTAGTGCCCAAATCCCGGTGCTAGGCACGCCTGGATTATTGGTTTATATGAAATGCTTCTCTCCATCCTCGTCAATTAGTAACTGTCTTGTGCTCCAACGCATGAGAGCTTATTATACCCATTTATTTTGGTGTCTTGTCTAAACAGCTGAAACAGAACTCAATATCCTCTGCTCAGTATTGCGTATATCCATTATCATGATAGCAGCTCTCTCTGAAACTTAGTCCTGCCTCTACTCTTAGGATCTATTTCTGTTTCTCCTCGATAATTTCTGAGATACTGAAAACAGAACTGAGCAACGTATTAAGTATTTTTAATAACTTCTTATGAATACGTACATTTGTGAATGATACATTTCTGATAATGTTCATGGTTAGGACAACTCCAAACTGAGCTTCTTGATTATCTGTGCCATGAGAAAACTTGACTATTCTATGTCCACAGGAGTTCTTACATATTACACAGGTAAATTCATTTAATTACCATAATACCTACTTTTTTCATGTATTATTCAGTTCTCTCACTCTTTTTCCCCAAAGCCACTTTAGTCCTTTTTTGTAGATAATTCCTTCTCTACGACAGTCGAAAATGAGACTATTTAAGAGGGAGTAATCTAACTCAAACAAGACATCTTCCACTTCTAGGTCTTCCCTGGTCAGATCTGATCAGATAGAGATGAATTTCCCTCTTTTAATTCACAGAAAAACTTTAGTGTTTCCAGTTAAACATGAACCACGCTGCTTTTACATTAATTCTCTCACACTAGTGTTTCCTTACACATCCCTCCTCCAACTAAGAGGATCGAGAAAAGACTGAGACTTCACTGTATTTTTAATTGCAGTTAATTTCAAAAAACACTGAAAGTCTCAGTATGTGGTAAACCCAACAAACCTAAAAGGGTAGGTTGTTTAAATAAAAACCATTTTTTCCCACAGCTTGAGCACTGGTACGTCTTGTGTTCTAGTTGCATCAGTAAATTTATTGCTGTGATAATACCAGAAATGACTGATGACATTTTTGGCTGATGTTAAGCACAACCAAGGGACTTTGTGCAAGAACCGAGACAATGACCAAACTGTGAGTGAACTTATTCTGCAGATGTGGTCCGACCACACTTGACTGTTCTTCTCATATTACCTAAAATCAGGCTTAAAAATTTCAACAAATGACGTCCTTTTCTTCTCCCCAAATAACAGAACATTTTAATCCTCTTTGCAGAATTCAACAACTTGAACTTTTGTACTGATTTAAATGTAACACAAGGACAGTATATTTTTTTTATTACTATTATTATTATTTTCAGCAACGTGCAGAATTAACTCTGCATGTCTTGTTTCAGGGATCGGAGTCCAACCTAAGCAACACCGAGTTTATTTTTAATGGCAGAGCTGCTAATCCTCTCCACAAGCACATGAACGGGCACCGCGTCACGGGCTGAACTGCCGAGCTCCCCGGTGCTCTCGTGTACACGAGCATGCACAGCGTAACTCCATACCGTAAAGCAGTGGATTTTCACCCAAATCTGAAAAACAGGGTATATAGCCTTTGGGATCATATCCACTCTCTTCCTCCTGTTTTCTAATACCTGTTTCTTGGAATGGGATTCCTCTGCCCAACAGTAGACGCCTGTCAGTACAACTGCGAGCATCGTTCCACTTAGCAGAGCGGTTGCCCAGATGAGACCTGCAGCCAGCTCATGCTCTACATTAAATGTCGGCAAAAAGGGGAACGCATCCACTAGCAAGCATTCATGAACTGAAGAGCTTCTTTCATGGGTTGCCCTTTGCTTGGGTGTGCCATGGAGCACAGCATGGGTTTTGCTGCCTGAGCAAGGAATATTCAGCATCAGTTTTAATGGAGATGTTGCAAACAGATGCAGCAGATGAAGATGCACCCCCGAGGTACAGGAGCGGTGCAACCTTTTAAGACTGATGTAGATAGGAGAATGGATCAAAGGGCATAGGACCGCTGTAGGAACAAGGGGCTTTTGCAAATCTATAGCACCCTAATTATCAGCCCCCAGCAGGAGTAGAATCTCAGGAAAAGTGCTCAAAACTCTCAGCTTCACACGCATGGGCACCTCCTGCGTGAGCTGAAAGGATTAGCACAAACTAAACATTCATGTAATATGCCTTGGAGGAGAGTTTTCAGCCCACCCCATCCATACTTCTCACTGTGCCTAACAACTAAAATGTAAAACAGACCCAAGCAGACAATTCTGCATTCCTGTTTTACCTAAAAAATTCAACATAGAGCAAAGGCTGAAGAGATGAAGGGTAGGGCTTTTTCTCTTCTTGCACTCTCTGAAAACCAGAGAAGACCTCTGAGTGTATCCTTAAATATTTCATTAGCCTTTTAGAGCTCCCTCTCTAGCTACCCGTCCATAGCACCATATTCTCAAATGTATCTTAGTAATTCACAAATTTGGCCTCTGCTCTTGATCCTCCCAAGAGGATTTTCTACTCTGCTCACTGCAGCACAGTCGCAGAGATTTTCCTTCATCATCTCACCCCTCAACCCAGTTAATGACATCCTCCTGCCTCTGCTCCTGCCACCACCCGGGAAAGCCTACAGGGTCCCAGTGCGGGCAGTCTGACGGAGGTGGTCACCCACTGTAAGGTTAAATCCAACTTCAGGGGTGGCAACCACAAGCTTTTATTTTGGTTTTATCGCTGAAGACACAAGCTGCACCTTAGGCCTGCTTGGCTGGAAGGGCAGTGTTCTGCCAGGCACCCGTGGGCAGGAGATTTCACTATCCACTGCTTGCACCTCTTCAGAACAAGCAGGCAAAAAGACTAAGTGAGAGGAAGAGTAATGGGGACAGAAAAGCCCAGGACACAGCTGGAACACGGAGGGGGATGTGACACGAAGAAAAAATACTCAGAATTGGAATCACATTTTCACTGGAAACGAAGACCCCCTGTTTCCTTAATGCCTGCTGCGAAACAAAAGTTTTCACAAGACGACATCACAGAAACATGGGGCGCCATCACCTCTTTGCTCTCAAAGAAAGAACAAATTTGGAAACACTTGAATTCTCACAAACGACTTGAACTGGAAGGGATACCGGCATCCTCTGTGAACTAGGCAAAACTCAGACCGAGGGAGCCTACAAACCTTTGCACTTACGCAAAGACAGGTTTAGTAGAGGAGAACATGTCCTGAAGTACGTGAAGTGCTGGTTAAACATTTACTTACCTATGCAAGTGCGCCCATCAGCATGGAGCCTGTGTCCGGCCCGGCACTGGCAGTGGAAGGAGCCGTGTGTGTTGACGCAGCCTTGCTGGCAGCCACCGTTCACCACCGCACACTCGTCCACGTCTGGAGAAGGAAGGCAGATGATGGGAATTACAAGACAGCCTCAGCAAAGACGTACCCTGGTTCTCCTGGAGGGCATGTAGCTCACATAGAATGCAACCATTGCACTCAGACCAGGGTTTTGTTTACTTCGCTTCTGCGCTGCAAACAGAGCAAAGAAAATTGAAATTTTATGGTGTTTTTCAAAGTTCCCGCAGGCGCTGCCTCTGTTGTCTCCACTTCTAAAGCCCTTGTTAATTAGAGTGATCTGCGACACGGCTGTTTCCTTGGGACCAAGAGAAAAATACAGGGAAAGAATTAGGGTACGATAACACATCTGAGCTTGTAGGTACCACTGGTCAAACATTTGGCGTTTGTAAAAATTTGCTGTATGAAGATTTCTTTTTGCATCAGGCATTTAATCCTATTAGCAGGTGCTCTTGAGGGTACAAGCACGTACAACTGACATAAATGGGAAAAAGCCATGCAACAGCAGAGCCCATGCTCTCAGTCAACATTACATTTTCAACCACTGAATACACCGAGAGCTTAGACATTCCATTTCAAGAGAAGGATGATTTTGTGCCATGTTTTCTGTGACTCTGTCTCTTGGGCTTCCTTGTGTTCACCTGAACTTCCCATAGCAGCTTCTCAGATGACCTCCCAGAAAAACCATGTGATTTCCTGATGATACCTTTTCTGGATCTAAGCAGGTATTTTTCCATATTTCACATTTTAGGGGATTACATTCAGTCAAATGAAGAGGGAAACTAGCATTAAACCAGCTTGAGAATGCTGCTGTAAAGCTTCATCTGAAAATGATGGAAAATGGTGGACTAAAGAGATCAAGAACAGTTTAAGTAAACAGGTGATGGTTTAAAACAGACCCACAAAACTGAATTTCCCAAAGTACCACATAAGCAGTTTCTGCACCTTTTACAGTAACACCGGGCTACTGTAAATAGCATTCGATTGACATGTTGACACCATTACCTTAAAAATCAACACAGAAGTAATTGGAAATAAGGGTCAGTTAGTCCATTCCCTGACAAGATTTCACCCAGTAGATGTTTGCCTAGAATTTGGCTGTCCTTTCCTTAACAGCCCCCAGGGATGGCAACTCCATGTGTCTCCATCTCACCCAGGGGCGACACTGGTACCAAATTATCCTGACCGCCAAAGCCAAACCTCCTTTGTGCAACAGGCATCTATAAAGAAACCTCCTTTCAATATTAAAGACTCTCATTGACTTAATTGCTCTTTAGATCACGTTCTCAAACCAGCTAAGGGATTTACCCACCCAAGCGGGTGCGGATGAGGAGACTGGGATTTCAAGAAATAAGAGTGGCTGCGACGAAAGGCAAGTCTGCTATTGCTGCTGGGGGGGAGCAACACAAAGAGGGGTTTTCTCCCCATATTGCACTTAAGGAACAAGGAGTCTGGCTTTCCTATTTTTGCTGCTGATATATCTGCTTTGCATTTAGCTTTCATGGTTTACATTTTTTTTTTATGCTTTTATGTTTATTCCGTTTTAGAAAGCCTAATCAAAATTAAATGAAAAAGGAAGTCTTAAAGATGACTTGGAAACGCACAACATCCTGGACCTAAGGAAATGTATTTATAAAGTTTAAAATTTAATATTTCACATGTGAATTTCACTTACCTAAAATGAAGTCCTGGTGTTGACTAGTGTTTAAATTTGGACCATTTGCTAACACGCACCACTTTTTAATCCTTCTGCTATATTTGCTGTTTTACTAGACTGTATACTCCATACATCTCCTACTGCTCGGAGACATCTGGAATGCTCTCTTTTCAAAAAGAAGTTTTGCTTTTTAAAATGTGAGCAGTAAACAGAAAATGTTATTCATGTTGTTGAATTCTACACTGTTAAGAAACGGCCTGCTGAAAAATGCCAGGACAAAATCAAAACCAGGAAACCATTTGTCTTGAGTATCACAGAAATAAAATAAGCAAAAAGGCTCAGAAAAATATAACAAGGAAGCAGCTGAACTATATAGTACACCATGTTCTAGTATTTATACCTCAATAAACTCAAATACTGGGAGCATCAGTACATGAATTTTATAGGCTACAATCAGCTGCAGAATTTCTCTAATATACCCAATACAGTTTTAAGTTAGGGTATCAGCACTTAGAAAGGAGAAAAAAAAAATGGTCCAGCTAATAAAAACCGAGCACTTGGAGTTAGCTTGATTTGTTAGTCTCTGTTTGAACGTTTGAAGAAGTGACTTGGTTTACGGGGAAGCTCTGCACCCAGCAGCTCCCGCTCCAGCTCTTCTTTCAACGGCATTTCCCTCGTGCTGGCACATCCCGAAAGGCCGTAAGGCAATTATATTGCTGAAAGGCAACATAATCAAATGAAAAATAAAAAAAGCTCTATAATACTTGCATATAGCGATACCTAACCCCACCCCGAGACTCCCTGCAGCAAGTGGGGAAAAACCAGAGGTGAGATAGACAAGCCTGCAATGCAACCCCACAGCCACCTTCCCAGGATGCCACCTGAGCGGCAAGCTTGGTGACAGACGATCCCTTCTGGTCTTGGGCTTTCTCTACAAGATCAGTATTTTAAGGATTATATGTCGAAAGATTCCTTCACGTACTGCAGAAATAATCCAGAAAAATGCAACATGCAGTCGCCTTCCAACGTCTCCTACATCTCAAGGCCAGGAAGCAACTTTGCCCCCAGTTACAGAAGAAAAATGCCTTAATTATTTTGTCTGGGGAGCAGTCTGCAAAGTAGACACTAATCTAAATGCATGAACTGCACTTGAAAGTTTTAAAAGTCTAACCAGTTTGGACTTCTATATTTAAATTGCTATACTAGTAAAGGACATATATACCAGGAAAACAAGAGCTTACTCTGTTCTAGGTACAGAAGTAGCCATTTCTTTTTCTACACGGAAGTAACTGTAGGAATATAAAATTATTATAGAATTATGAAGTTGTAAAAATATAAAAAAATATTCTAGAAGTAGAAAGTCATTATATTCTAATTCTAGAATATTATGGGATTATGGCAGATTGTATCTGTTTAACAATACACTAAAATTAAATTTGGATTAGTTTCCACTGTAGATCAAACTGAAACACCTACGTGCTCAACTTTCTGTAGTCACAATTCAGGACGCTTATCTGAATAACCCGAATTTCAAGCCATTTATGGCTTGCTTATCACAAGTCAGACCGTGATGAAGGCAACTGCGTTCCCACAAAACAGAGGGAGAGCAATCTGCTGAGATGAGAGGCGAGAAGCAAAACGCGAGTGGGGTGCTGGCCCACGGTGATCTCGCAAAGGGGATTATGCTGCTGGGCGAAGAGAGCTGAGTCAGTATGTGAAT